CTAGGTTTCAGTCCATAATTACCTGTCCCATGGCAGGGGCAACAGTTTATGGCAGCAGAAGAAAGCAAAAACAAGGGTGGAGTCTCATCTTATTACAAAGCTTCTGGGGCCGGGGATTTAGCTCAGTGGTTCTGCTGCCTGCCTTGAAAGTGCAAGGTCCTGAGTTTGATCCCCGGTACCAAAAAAAGAAACAAAACCAAACAACCAAAAAAAGCTTCTGCACTGCAAGAGAAACCACCAACAGAGCTAAGAGATAACCTACAATGTAGGAAAAAATTTTTACCAGCGGTTCCTCAGACAAAGGTCTACTATCTAGAATATATATATAGAACTAAAAAAAATCAGATCCATCCCAAAATATAAAGACCCAATTCAAAAATGAACATCTGAAATGAACAGACATTTCTCAGACAAACAAGCAGAAATAGCAAATAAACATGAAAAAATGTTCAACGTCACTGGTCATTTGAGAGATGCAGATGAAAACAACGCTGAGATTCCACCTCACTCCAGAAAGAATGGCTGCTATCATGAAATCAACCAATAACAAATGCTGGCAGGGCTGTGGGGAAAGAGGAACGCTGCTCCACTGCTGGTGGGAGTGTAGACTGGTGCAACCACTATGGAAATCAGTATGGAGATACCTCAAAGAACTAGGATTAGAAGTCCCATTTGACCCAGCTATTCCTCTGCTGGGTATCTTCCAAAAGAATTAAAAGAATCATACCACAGTGATATATGCTCACCCATGTTTATAGCGGCACAGTTTGTAATAGCTAAAACTTGGAAACAGCCCAAATGCCCATCAACTGGAAACTGGATAAAGATGTGGGTTTTTTAATAAAATGGAGTACTACTCAGCCATAAAGAATGAGAAACTAGAGACATTTATAGCTAAGTGGATGCACATTGAGGTGATACTCTTCAGTGAAATAAATAGGACACACATGTGTAAATACTGTATAGTTTCTCTGATGTGAAAAACTAAAAGTGTAAATAAGGACCAAAATGTATAATTGATATTGTGAAGGAGGAAGAAAAGGTCTGAAGGAGTAGAGGAAGTGGGAGGGGCAGGTAAAAGGAAAGAAGGAAAAAGAAAAATTGAGAGAAAAAGGAAAACATTGAAACAAAGTCTGTAAATAGGGAAGGGTGGAGGGGGTGAAGGGAGGGCAGGGGAACGGGGAAAAAATAAGAACCAAGATACATCATGTAAAGGTACAAGATACCAACGATGAATGTAACTGTCTTGTATACCTAAAGTGTACCAATAAGCTTAATGGAAAAAAGGAAAGAAATCAAGTAATAACAAATGCTGGAGAGGCTGTCGGGGAAAAGTGACACTTCTAAAATGTTGGTGGAAATGTAAACTAGGACCAGATTTATGGAAATCAGAATGGAGCATCCTCAAAGAAACAAAACAAGAAATTTGATTTCACCAAGCTATTCCCCTTCTAGGTGTCTTCCCAGAAGAGTTAAAGACATCATAATACAATGACACATGCATACCCATGTTTATAGTAACACAATTTACAATAGTTAAAACTTGGATGTGGCCTGCATATCCATCAACAGATAAATGGGTAAAGACAATATGGTATTCATACATAATAGAGTACTACTCTGCTATAGAGAAGAATAAAATTGAGTCATTTGTAGGAAAGTGAGTGCACTTTGAAACCATAATGTTATGTCAAAAAAACCAGAAACACGAGCTTAAATATTGCATGGTTTCTCTTACACAAAATATAAATAAGTAGCAATATAAATAAAAAACAGATAATAGGGAATAGGAAAATAGAGATCTTTTGCAAAAAGGAAAGGGACCAAGATATTGGGGGGGGGGGAGGAAAGGGGATGAAAAAAGATGAGGAATGTGCATGAATCAACTCCCCATGAAGAATGCAATCATTATATAGTACTAAGATGTACTAATGAAAATTCTTTTAAAAAGTGATTCCTAAACTTCCTGTTTTTATAAATAAATTCAACAAAATAATTTGTTTTACTTACTCCATAATGTGAAGAAAGAACAAAGTATCATTATCTCTCTACTAAGTTTGTATCACTCAGGATTCTCCAGGGAAACAGAAACAGGCTTGTTGTCGAAATAGGCTTATAGGATATGGTGCCAAGATGTTTGCCAACGTGTTGCTTGCAGGCTAAAGAATGAAGAAAGGCAGTGAGTGGTCAGTTCAGTCTGAGTGGGAAGACCTGAGGTGGGCAGTGTATGTCCTGGTCTAGTCAGGGAGCCTCAGGAGCAAGAGTGGAAATGTCACATCCTAGGACTGGCTCAGAAGGGTGACTCAGCTCAAGCAGACTGAATTTGCTTTTCCTCTGCCTTTTGCTTTTATCAGTGTGTGCAAAGGATGTTATGGATTCAAGTCCAGTGATGCAAGTAAGAATCTCTGCCAGAAACTCCCTCATAGACACATGCATCGTAATAACAATATTTTACCAGCTATCACCACAACCTTCAGGCAGTCAGGTTGACAAGAGAATTATTTACCACATGGATAATAGAACAAAATTCCAGGCTAATTTAGATGTTTGTTTCAAAATAATAAAAATAACTTAATGCTTTTTAAAAATAGAGAGTATGCAAATAATTCCTGAAGGCATGAAGTATAGCATATTTTTGTAGCAGTACCCTTACAACAAGGTTGTGTTTTTGGTTCAAGGAGTATTTGATCATACACAACCAAGGCAGATGATAGAAATTCCTCTTTACTCAGATTTCTTCTTCAAGCAGTTGGGAATTCAAGTGTGTAATTCCTTCAGTTACTACCAAGAGGAAATGTCCTAACACTTTAAGAAAAAGTGTACAATGGGAAAACAACGAATAGTACAAAGGATATGAGATGCTGAAGTCAGAGTAACTTCCTGGAAGTAACTGGACCCTAGGATGACAAGGGTCACCAGGTGGCACTGATGCAGCAGAGGAATGGGCAGGAGAGACAGAGCAGCAGGAGACTGACTCATGCAGCCCTCAACTGTGGGCTAATGGTGGATCTGAAGGGAGTAAGTGGGAGGCCTGCTGACCCCTCACTTCATATGGAGAAGCAGAGGGGATCCAGACCAAGACAACTCCAGTCTGAACGGTTTGCTAGAGCCTAGGAAGAAACAGCAGGTGGTGGACTGGCAAATGACCACTTGGGAGATTTATTTCCCTTGATCACTTCAGGAGAGTCTTTGGAGCATCGTCAACCTTCAGAAAAGAAGCAAATGTTACTCCAAGTTTCTGAGGAAACCCTGCTTCAGTTCTGCTGGGGACCCCTTCCTAGTCACCCTGATTTTATATCTGTCCTCACCGAGGGTCATGTATTTTCCTCCCCTTCTCAATCCTTGTCCCCAGTGCTTGCAGCAACCTCCTCCTCTTTCCCCACATCCCAACCCTGGACTGCCTCAAAACTGAAGCTGTCATGACCGGATCTGCTCCCTGACTCAGAGCCTGCTCCTCCTGCTGGGGGACGTGAGGGAGACTGTTCAAAGCTGGGGGGCCTTGGGTGGGGCTGCAGGCACACATTCTGCCTCCTCCTTCACTCTCCACTCTCCTCACCTGGTAGCCACACACAAAAGCCCTGTGTGCAGTGTCACAGCCTCACCTCACCCACCCCCACCCATTTCCTGTCAGCTCCTCTGGGAGTATGGCCTGCAGCCCAGCTCAGCCTCTCCAGGCCCAGACACACTTCTGCTGTGGGGAGGCAGGGAAGGCAGAGCTGGCTCAGGATCTGCAGTCTGCAGGAGGCTGGATGCCAGGGCCATAGTCTCAGCTGAGCCTGGATTCCCAGGGTTCACCAGAGAGCTGGCCTCCTTCTCACCTCAACCTGGACAGACTCTGCTCCTAGCTTTCTACCTCCACTGATGGGAACAAAGTCTTTCTCTGGGAATGCAGGCCTGAACTCCAGCCTTTTAGTAGAATTAGAAAAATCTTCCCTGTCTTCACTTCTGGGATTAGAATCACACGCCCCTCTGCTTCATCTATGGAATGGATCCTCATTCCCCTCACACATCAAGTGGAGTCAACATGCTGGTACCACTCACATTTGAAAACTTTCCTTCTTTGTGTTCCTACTGTGTCCATATCATGCATCAGTGTCCGGTCCTCAGTAGGAGTGCGATCTGAATCAGGCCTCATTTTGCCGAGATGCTTTAGAATACCAACAGACAATAGGTTGGTGTGGGCTGCTCCCCTTATGGCTAAGTTAAGGAGGAAGTACTTCTCCAAACTCAGGGCTGAGCTTGTCAGGCTATTGCTATGAGGTGATATGAGGTCTGATGCTCTTCTCCATTTCAACATGTAGTGGAGGAATAGGCATTCTGGGATTTCATTTTCCTGTCCTTACTCCTCGCCCCTCATTCCCTTGCTCTCCCTCACATGTATGTCCACCATACCTGCAACTCTGAATTCTCTCCTTAGATATAAAATAGGATGGAGCAGGTAACGATCAGCAGTAGGACCCACAGATTTGGAATGACCTCCATGGAGCTGGACTGGGTCAAGTTTTGTGTGGTGGGTGGACATGCTGGAATAGAAACAAGGGAGTGTCGGCCCTTGGTCAGACCCCAAATCTGAGCAGACCCCTCCTCAGCTCTCTCTACTTCAGGTGACCCAGCTTTGCTGACAGTCCCTACCCCTCTGCTATGTGGCAGTCCCTGTGACAGGTCCTGGGCTGGGAAGTGAGAGAACAGATGGTCTCTGTGTGCAAGGGGTCATTTAGGTACTGAGCAGCCAGGGGACAATGTTCGCCACTCTTCTGCTAGCAGGACAGGAGGTGGCCCATCAGGGTGGTACGAGGGAAGCATCTGAGGAGCTAATATGTGAGGTGGTTTTGAAGGATTTCAAGAAAGAGACAGGAGAGGTTGAAAAGAAAAGTGATTCTGGAGTGAGGAAAGACTAAGAGGAAAAGACATGGGAAGAAAACAGTGCCCCTATGTGGAAGCCAGCAAGAAATCCACGATCCATGAGCCAAAATATGTGCAGGAGCAAGAGGTGTCAGGAAAGGAGAAGGGAAAAGATGAGAGGAATACACCTGGTACCATTCCCCAGGAAGAACTCGGGGTTCATGGAGTACGTACACACACACACACACACACACACACACAGGAAAGTGTAGGCACACCGTGACAGCCATTTAAAGCAGCCCCCTCTTTCTCCCCCTCTTCCCAGTTACCTGTGGGCTCCTGCCTTTTGAGGTGCTTCAGGACCTCCTTAAGCCATTTCTGACAGTCTCCCCCTGAGATCCTGTATAAGACATCAGTCATTTCCTTGTCATCTTCCCAGGCGACCTTCATGCAGCTGAGTCCAGAAGGTTTCTCTGTCCATGTTTTGTGTTTTGAGTCAACTTGGGCTGAAATCTGTCCATTGATGTGAAACTCCCAGCACCAGCTCATGTGTCCACCGGCGTCAAGTCGACAGGTCATGTTGGCTGACAGGGTGAGGGGTGCTGCCCACAGAAAGGGATCAGTGTCTGCTCTGGACAAATCCCTGACCACCACCCATATCCACCTGTGCTGCTCTACTTCTTCCCTGGCCTGTTCTCCCCTCCAAGTCAAGCCCTTGCTGTGAGACTGGCTGCAGAGATCAACATCCAACTGTGATCTGTTTGCGCACATGAATAAGATAAACATCCCTCTGCCTTTCTTGTTCCCTTGGAGTACTGGAACTTACCCATGGTTCCACAGTTCTCTGGTTCAATGCCAAGCACTTTTTCTCTGAGACTTTCCCCCACATGCTTGGATGTCTCTCTTAGTTGTTCCCAGGTCTCGGTGCTATTCACCTCCTCTCCCAGGACATTTGTGGGTTTGGCCATGGCAAGGGCACAGTCATAGGAAACAAAAGGGTTCTGGTTGATGTGCCCTTGAATATTGCACCAATGTTCATGTGCAGGCTTTAGTTTGGTGGTGAATCCCAAGGAAAGCGAGTGTGTGTCTGTGAAAGAAAAGCACAAAGATGGGTTGATGGAGGGAAAAAAGGACCCTTTTGTCACCTGTCACCCAGTCTATGTGAGGGGAAGAATCTCTCTGAAGAGCTGAGCTGGCAGAGCTTGCAAGGACTGCTCCTTTCCACCTGTTTAAAGCTGGTATCCTTCCCTTGTTGAAGGAGGAGGAGCCCACTTCCTGGAAGCAGCTGCCTGTGCCGGCACAAGGCTCAAATCCCTCTGCTCACTGAACTAAAACCCGAATTCAGGAGCACTTGACTTGTGAGGGCCATGGCAGACCTGCTATGCAGGAAAAGGCCTGGATGGCAGAGGAACTGCAGGGGCAGCCCCTGTGTCCTGCAGGGAGATGAGAGTGTATGGAGCTGCCCCAAGGTGGCTGAGTCATGATGAGGCTTGAATGGGAGCCACAGGACACAGAAATCATGGCTTGTAAGGTTTAGACGTACTGCTAGAAGGTGGCACTGCTGTGTGAGTAGACTGCGTCTGTTATCTTGGAAAAGCAAGTCCATACTGCAGATGTAGCAAATCCAGAATTTCCAACCACACTGGATCAGAGAATCCATATGCCAGAGTGAATGTAACATGAAAGCCTGAAAAATGTTCTGTGCTCTCTGCTTCATACGAATGCCTGGAGCCGGGGATTTAGCTCAGTGGTTCCACCACCTGCCTCCCAAGGGCAAGGACCTGAGTTTAATCCCCGGTACCAAAAAAAAAAAGGATGCCTGGAGAATTGTTCTGCGCGAAGCATATAAAACTGACCCAAAAAAGCCAATATTAATACAAAATAAATCATAAAGATCAGAACAGAAACACTGGAAATATAGAGCGAAAAAATTAATATCAAAGATCAAAGAATTGTTTCTTTGAAAAATCAGCACAGGACAGTGGCTAAGCCTGGTCCCCATTTTCTGGCATGTGACTATCTCCAGCTCCCATCGCACTGAAAGCAGAGCTGAGGCAGATATGGTGTGGCCTACAAAGTTGGAAATATTTTACAGAAAAGCCATGGATTTCTGTCAAACTAATTAATACTATTTCTGTCTAATTAATTAACACCACTGTATGGTGCTGTCTTTCCAAACAGATAGGTGGGCCTGGGCCCCAAGGCAGAAGTCTACAGACCCTCTCCCTACCACCCCTTCCCACATGACTACATGTCACTACTCCTGCAACCACCACTCCCCACCCCACTGCCAGGGTCCTACTGTGGCTGTGTGTCCATCCACTCCCTGCTGCTTCAGGTTCTGTGGGGGAGGTGGGTGTGGTGCTTGGGTGTGCCTCGGGCAGGGACAAGGGTGCCAGCCTGTGGTGGAGGGGCTCAGGCCCTGCCTGTTTGGAAAGTGGAGGAGCCTGGGGTGCATAGGGGCTGGGCAAGGTGGTCGGGGGGACAGGGGAGCTGGTTGGCAGCTCATTGACTCAACAGGGAAGGGGGTGGATGGGACTGCCGAGACTCTAGGGGGCCTGGGCTGTGACAGACAGAACTGGAAAAGATGCCTTGGGGCACTGAGAGGAGAGAGTCTGTGGAGCAGGGCAGGGCCTGGGGGCTGCGTGGAGCTGTCTGGGGAGGGAATCACAGTCAGTTGTGGAGGCTGCACGGACTCCTAATGGGATCCGGGGCAGGGGGCGGGCAGGGTGGAGTCAACAGGGATTCCTGACTGCCACCTTGTCCTTGGCTTTCCCCTTGCAACACCTCTTTTCTCCGTTGTTACTTTTTCCTCTCCCCCTCTGCTGGCTGAGTTGGGGCGCAGACCCGGATGTGGAAACCTGGTCGTGACTGGAAGGAGCCGGTGGAGGAGACACGGGGCGGGACGGAAGAGGTGGGGGAGGCGCAGAGCGCGGGGACTCTCTGGTCCGGGCCGCTCTGAGAAGTTCGGGCAGCGACAGCGACAGCAGCAGCAGCAGCAGCAGCAGCAACAGAGCCGGGATGTGAAGGACGCGGGCGGGGGTCGCAGCGGGCGCCATGGGTCCCTCCGGGCACAAGGAGAGCAGCGGGTCTTGAGACAGAGCCATCAAAGCGAGGATGGGACCGCCTCCCAGGAGATGCTCCGGGCAGCGCTCAGCCCTCGCGTCCCCAAAGTTTCTCAGGCCTCCTGCGGCGTTCACCGTCAGCTTTCCTAGCCCCGCAGCGTCACACGGATTCCTTCGGCTGGAGCCCTGGGCGGACCTCCTCGCGGCTCTGGTCCGCCTCCCCACGCGCCGCGCATCGGTCTAGCCCTTACCAGCCGGCGGAGTTCTCTTCACCAGGGTGAGTTTGCTCAGAGCACAGAGTGCCTGGAGAAATAAGAGAAGCAGTTGCAGGCCCCGTTCTTCATAAATCCAACCTTGCCCATAGCTTCCTCCCGTGGCAAAATCGCTGTGCTGAGAAGGTTGTAGGCAGGGCTGAGGCGGGGAGGGGCGGGTCAGGCCTGGGTCCCCTGCGCAGAGGGGCGCCAGGCAAAGCTCCTTACCAGAGAGTGAGGCTGGCGCTCACCCGAAGGGAGCCCTGTGCCACCTGGGCAGTGAATGTCCTCCAGAGGACTTGCCAGTCTCTGCGGATTACTGCAAGTTCCTGTATGTCTCTGCAGGGGCAACTCTAGTGCTTTTTGCAGGATCTTTTTATGCCCCACTCCTGTCTCCCCTTCTTTAACTCCGTCCCCAGGGTCAGAATCTCACCATTTTCCCTTACAGATCTAAGAATTTCGGGCCCCTTGTACAGTCTGGTCTGAAGCCAATGTCTTTGAAGACACTTATTAGCTATCCTGCCAGCAAAGGCATTCGTTTTTCAAGTAGGTTCTGTGCCAACCCAGGAGAACAACTCTCAGAGTAAAAGCTGAGAAGTTCTGGCCAGAGGCAGGCTCTGCTCCCACCTAAAGGCTTCTAATGTCATTTGCTGCGGAACCTTGACAATTTCACTATTGCCTTTCATCCAGTGGTTCATGCAGGCCTGCATCCAACAACCAGGTCAATAATATTTAAATAACTTCACATCCCCCTTTCAGCCGGTGTGGTGATGAGTGAAATGATCACCAGTGGAGTCTAAGAAGATTCTTGGGTTTTGGTTTGCGGTTTCTGGGCTGTGATCTCTTTTTTTTTCACCCCCGTTCAGAGATCTCTAGTTCTGTGAGGTGAGCAGAGGTTGGACGCAGGGCTGCACCTCTCATTGCCTGTAACTGAGCCTTGTGGCTCAGAGAAGGTGAGTGGAGAAAAGGAGCCCATGGTTCCCAAAGGCACTTTTATTGCAGGGCATGGCAAAGGCCTGTAAGGTGACAGCTCCATCAGGCACCCATGGCAGGTCCTGCAGATGTTTACTTGGTCTGCAGTGGGCTTCCTGTGACAGTCCTGTCACAGAAGACCATGCCCCTTTGAGTCATCCTCACCCAGGTCCTAGAGGGGCCCTCCCCACCCGTGGATGATCCCACACCACTCTGGCTGAGTCTGTGTGTGCTTCCCCCTTATTAGGCAGCGCTACAGTAGTTTTTTGTTGTTTGTTTGTTTTTTGGTACGGGGGATCGAACTTGGGACCTTGTACTTGTGAGGCAGGCGCTGGAACCACTGAGCTAAATCCCCGGCCCCAGCATATGTTCTTAATAAAGCCTCTTCCAGATAGTGTGTTCCTGCCTGCTCGTGATTTTTGCCTTGAGTAGCACATAACTCAGCTGGTAACACCAAGGGCTCTGGCCCCAAGAGCAGTCAGTGGCCAGAGCTAGTAACACCTAGTGGGCGGAACCTCCACCCAAAATGGATACCAAGGGCCCTGCTCTCCATCTCTGCCAATGCTGCTGCAGCAAAAGGTATGCTTCCAGGAAGGGGTGTGATAGCAGGACCAACTGATGCCTGTTCTCTGCTCCAATTCTGCCACATTTCATTGACAGACTCTAAATCACACCCAGAAGTCTGGTTGCAAATGACTGTGGAAAATATCGTGGTTATATTTACTATTTCTGTGGTGTAGGCAGGAATGTTAGAAAGAAGATGCAATGGATGTCAGACACTGATTTCCCACATCCAGCCTAGGTGTGAAGAGTTAGGGTGCCACTTATACTTCCAAAATGTGTTTAATAATGCTATAAGTTGCTTATTGGTTTATCATATATATATATATATATATATATATATATGTACACCTGCATCCAAACATTGTACCTATATATCCATGTACCTATATCTATGTATGAAGTTACTATGAAGGCAGTAAAATCAGGTACCTAATGATTTCAAGCACGGGTTCTATAATCAGCCTGCTGTTCAAAATCCATTCTATGTGAGGCACACGTATTCTCTCAACTTCCTGCACAATGGTTTTATTTGCCCCTGTGTAAAATAGATGTAACAACAGTGCCTACCTCAAAATACTGTTGTGAGACCCAAATAGCTTACTCATAGCTGTGTGTGGGAGCATACACCTTGGAGGCTGAGACAAAAGGATCGCAAGACTGAGGCACACTTGGCAACTTAGTAACTTATCAAGACCTTGCCTGAAATACAAATAAATACAGAACTAAATGATTTAAAAAGGTCCTGGGGCTGAGTCAGGCAGAAGACGCCCAATCACCCCGCTGCAGACAGGCAGGTCTGCCCACACCCT